GATTTGGGACCTGGATCCTGCAGGGCTTTGGGACCTGGATCCTGCAGGGATTTCCTCCCTGTGTTTTCCTGACGACACATTTCACCCCGGGAAGGTTATCCCGCCTCTTTGCCAGCCAAGTGCCCCTTCTGGGAAGGGAAAAGCAGTGCCAGCACCTGCTCCCAGAGCTTGGCTTTAGCCATGGTCACGTTATCCCATTACCTCATGCGTGGTGTCACCTCCAGCACAGCCACACTCCTCCCATGGAATGTGCCATCCAAGAGGGTCACTTTGTCTTTTTTTTTAATATAAAAAGGCCTCCATTTATCTCAGGACACAGATAAAATAAAATCATCCATCCAGAGGAAGAGGGGACATCAGACAGGAGCTTCACAGCCACCCCTGCAGAGACAGTGACACTCTCCTGAGGCTTTATGAACCTCACAAAAATTGTTTTCTTTTCTTATATGGGGAGCTGAAATATCAGCACTGTTTTAGGATCAGCTCTGAGGATGGAGGGAGGTTTGCAAGGGCTGCCTCTGACCCGTGCTGGTGGCAGGGGAGCCTTCACCTGGCGGTGTATAAAAGGTGGGACAGTTTTTCCCACCTCTGGGAGGAAAGGAGAGCTGCTTGTTTAAGCTGCTTATTCCCAGGGATGATCCAGGCTCCAGCTCAGAGACATCCCAAAGTCTGACATCCCAGACAAAATGTGGCCCAACCAAACAAAACCAGAGCGACCAAGGCCTGGGGGTCCTTGGAGCAGCCAAGGAGAGGTGAAGAAGAGAGCAAGGATCCCCAGGTCCATCCCTTGGTTGCATCCCAAGATCCAGCAGATCCCCTCAGCAGCAGGTTGGGGTTGTGTTCAGCAGCCACAGTTGGAATACTTTGATCCTGTTCATCACCATGGTCCCCGTGGTGTCCTGAAGTGCCAAATTCCAGGTTCACTGAACACTTCAGGATTAGCTGTTGCCTTTGGTTTGCCCGAAACCCACGTTCTGGCCACTGCACTGGGCTCTCCTCATCTCCCACGAGTGAGAAACAGGGAATGACCGGTTCCCACTCGCTGTTTCCTCACCCTGATAGTTTCCTGGATCTCTCCATCCCCCTCTTCCATTCCCAACCTGAACCTTCCAGCTCATTCCCTGACACTTCCCTGAATCCCCGGCCAGGTTTGCTGCTCCCTTGCCCCTCTTTGCCAGCGCTCTAGGTGCTTTTGGCAGGGGCAGCAGCGTGTCCCCAACGTGGGGAAGCTCTGCCAGACACAGCTCCGAGGTGCTTTGCCCAAGGTAAGGCCGTGAGTCATCCCTGGAGCCGGGAATAACTCTGGAGCAGGGCCCCCCTTCACCTGCTGCTCCCCGTGGGTGTGGGCACCGGGGAACATCCCCAGCACATCTGGCTTTCCAGCAAGGGCTGAAACACCTGGAGGCAGGGAAAACACACAGTCAGGGAGGCCAGGGAGAGGTCCCCCCCTGCTTTTTCAGCTCCTTTGCATCCCACAGCTCTCTCTGTTCAGAGGTCGCTTCCTCATCACCCACCTTGAGCTGCGAACGGAGGGTTTGTGGCTCTAAACGTTTTTGTAGATGTTATTTTATAGTGGGGTTCAAACCCAGCAACCAAAATTCCCAGAGAAAAGCTCCTCCTCCCCATCCAAACTGCCCGTGCTGGATGCTGGTGCTGATCCCGGGATCAGAGAGAGAGAAAGGACCCGAAATCCAGGATCAGCTCCCAGTCCACGCTGGAAATTTGGAAACCTCCAAACAACCAAGCAGGGAAAGCAACACCCTCCAGCTTTGCTTCGTGCAGAGGCTTCACCCCCTGGCAGTTCTTGGGGGAGTCGGGAGGATGCTCGGGGGGTGTGGAAGCGCTGCCAGGATCCCTCCTAATCCCTGCTTGTGTTGAGCCCGCTCTTGAAACATCCCCCTTGGAGCCGGTGGGATTTGCATATGGATCTGCCCTCTCCCGGCCCAAATCCGTCCCTGGGTGGGAGCCATGAACTGGGATGACTGAATCCCGGCGAGGGAAGGAGCTGGACGAAGCCTTTGCCTTCTCTTTTTGGCCGCTCGCTCCATCGCAGGAGGAGCCGGCGTCGAAATCGCGGCTCCCAATCCCAGCGACCGCGAAATGCCAGCAAGAAAGTCTTGCAAAAATCGGGCAGGGAAAGGAGGGGAGGGAAAGGGAGGGGGGGGTTGGGGGGGGGGAGAGGGAAAGAAACCCGGCACCTTTCACGCTTCCAGAAGGAACAAGAGCAACAAAAAGCATTCACGGGGAAAAAAATAGCAGAGGGCGAATAAGAACCTCGGGGAGATGCAAATCTGGGAGAACGGCAGCCCACGGTGGGAGGGGAGCCAAGGCTGCGGAGCGAGGGCCAGAGCCGGGGGGATGCAGGGCATTCCCCCCACCTTTTCCCAAAAAAAAAAAAAAAAAAAATATGTGGGAGCCACAGGGGCAAACCTGAACCTGGAGGGAGGCAAAGGTTTGGTGCACGGGGTTGTTCTTGCACACCCGCGTTCTTGAACACGCGTGTGGGGCCGGGGGGGATGCAGGGGGTGATGGGGGGGATGCAGCGGGGGGGATGCGGGGCATCCCCCCCACCTTTTCCCAAAAAGGGCGGAAGCAGAAGAC